CTCAGGTTGCAGGCTGGGTCCCCAGTAGAGGGCACACAGGAGGCAGCCATCAATGTTTCACTCTCACATCAATGTTTCTCTCTCAGAACCAAAAAATAAATAAAATAAAATAAAAAAGGTACATTTATTACAAAAAAAAAATATAAAATCTTTCAACTGCTGTGCATTTTATAGATTCCCCTCCCCTCCCTGCCCTTAACATCACACAGTTTACAAAGTAAATAAACTATTGAGTGACTGCAGAAAAAAATAAATTAAAAAACGGCAGAATCCATAGGTTTTCTGTTTAGTGTTCAAAAGGTCATTGGCAAGTACTCAATTTCCATAGCAACAGTAACCACAGGCCTGATCAAATCAACAAATACCTACAATTTATCTGAAGGTCTCCAATGAGCTACTTTCTCCTCTCCCCTGACCTCCCATTTAAACCTTCTGATTAGATAAAGTCTTTAAAGACAATGGATGCTTTTGGAAAACCTAGTGTTTCAATAACCATGAACAGAAAGATGCCTGCTGGCTCTTTCCACACATCACCTAGCCACAGAGTCTCCTCTATGTTAATTTAAACGTTTAAACTGGAATAGGAATGGGACCCTATTCGTTTGTTCATCAGTAATAGGGTCAATCTCAAAACGTCTCTTTGGCATACGTACATAAAAGGAGACGCGTATGTGACCTCAGACAGCCTGCAGGCCCGCCTCCTGGGAGGGTGATTTCCCCGTAGAGCCGGGACCTCTCCCTTCCCTTCTACCTGGGATGCGTATGTCACACACCACCCTATAGACAGAGCTCAAGAGGCGAATGGTCCAGATCCCAGATTTTGTAAAAGAGCAACATGGAAACCACGGAGCTTTCCTGCGAACACAATCAGCAGCAAAGTAGCTGCCATTTCTGTGGTTAACTAAGGCTGCTGCCCCTACGCTGTGCCCTCTCTCATGTGGTTTATGCCAAACCCTTCAGATGTGCTCACTTTTGAGTCTCTATTGAGGACCCCAAAGCACTGTATGGAGGCCAGTGTGGACGATGTTTCGGTGGGAGACTATCTACTCCCCTGACAACCGCTGAAACCCTGTTCGGTCCAGAGCAGCTGACCCATGGCCAGATACACAAGTTCCCAATTCACAGACATCATGTTCCAGAAACCCATCTAAATTTACATGGGGATCTATTTTCCCACAGAAACAATGTCCTAAATGGTGGTGATGTTCTAATATGCCTCTATTTCATAAAATGGCTTGACTTCAGGACAGAGAGCATGCCTGTTTCTTAGAGCATACTTTAAAAATAAAAATAAATGTTTTTAGAGAAGCTTCAGAATTAAAAAGACACACACACACATAAAAACTCCACCCTCTTTTAACCCAGTTTCTGCAGTGAAACATTCTGATGATGATGATAAGAGCTAACAATTGTATATAAGTTTGCTTTTAGGACTTTTTTATTGACTAATTTAAACTTTAAAACACTACTACTGCCCTGGCCAGTGTGCTAAGTGGTTAGAGCGTTGGGCAGCGCACCAAAGAGTTCTTGGGTTCGATTCCTGGGCAAGGGCACATACCTGAGTTGCAGGTTTGACCTCCGGCCCTAGTTGGGGTGTGTGAGGGAGGCAAGCAACAGATGTGAGATGTATCTCTCTCACAGAGATGTTTCTCTTTCCTTCTCTTCCTCCTCCCTCCCTCCTCTTCCATTCCCTCTAAAAATCAATGGGAAAAATATCTTCCTGTGAGGATTAACAAACACACACACAAAAAAAACACAAACCAAACAATATAAGACTATTAAGACAGTGTTGCTCGCTATTCTCATTTACAGTGAGGCCATGCATAGGGCAGGAGCCAGGATTTGACTCGAGTCCAGGGCTGCACCAGGGGCTGCTAAACTGGCCCACTGGCCACTCTGGTCTGCCGCCTGCCTGCTTTTGTAAATAAAGTTTTATTGGCACTTGGCCTTGTCCGTTTGCTTACATGTTGCCTGTTGTTGCTTTTGTGCTAAAAAGGCAGAGCGAGGAGCTGCCACAGAAACCCCTACTTTGCAAGTACTACTTGGAACCTTAGGCCTGCAAAAGCCTAAAGTATTTATTACTGACTTTTCACGGAGGCTTGCTGAGCAAGGGCCACACCATCCTGCGGCCACGTCACAGGGAAGACAGGCCCTCCTCTCCTACGCTCCCACGAACCTCCCTGCAGCCAGTGAAGGCCTCAAAGCTGGAGGAAGCTCAGGCCCCTGATGTCCTCACCAGCGACAGGCAGGCCAGAGAACTGCTGACAGGCACAGGGGGGCCTCACGCTCATGTCTCCATCAGCTTCCTGCCTCATTTCCAAAGGGATTTGAAGCAGGGCCCACAGGAACCCAGCAGACAGGAGGGACTGACTGCTTCCATTCGCTTCTGGAACATTACTGAACGAAGAACAGATGTGTATTGTACGTTTTTGACTCAGGGACCTCTTGAACTTCATTTGAAGTTGGACATGGAACAGGTGAAGGCCCGCTGAGCACTGCCTTGGAGACTGCGGTCCGGGTCCCGGTCGGTTTGTCTTCTGGGTGGACGAATGGCTCCCATGGGATGAAGCCTTACGGAGCAAGGTCATCGCCAGGCATCCCGGGAATTTCCTTGGCTCCTACGAGCTCCACTCACTGATCATCCTGTTGGCCAGGATATTTTTTTTTTTTTAAATCAACAATAAATTTGAAATGTTTTCCATGTTCTTATCAGATGAATGCAAGCACAGTGGCAGAGTTATGACTGCTCGGGTGTTTTATTAGTATTCGTTCTTTCATCAGACTGAATGACCTCAGATTTCTGCGGAAGGATTTGAAAACCGCCATGTCGGGAACTCCTTCTAGAAAACAGTGCTGGTCAGGGAAAAAATAAGTGTGGCCCAGAGTAGTGATTTTCAGCTGGTGGGCCATTTGAAACATGTACTTCCTGGCCATTTAGGCATTTTAAACATGTTCTACCTGGCCCGGACCTCTCTCCCCTTCGACTGTCAAGACAAACAACAAACAAAACCCATGACAACAGCCAACACAGTAGCTGTTGGATGTGAAATAGTTAGGCCTATTGTTTTTGGGTCAGATCGGCAAAAGATAAACATGTTCTGTGGGTGCCGCAGAACTCCCGTCACTGGGGCATGGGTGCCCTGAGTTGGAAAGGCTGAGAATCGCTGCCCTTGAGGAGGGATGCAGTTCAGTGAGTGAGACCTGCCCCTAGAACCACCAGCGTCAGATTTCATCCAATCTGACTCACCCCTGACTTGTAAGTGAAAACTCATGGCGTTCAGCTGAATGGAACTGTCACAGAGGCTGGGAAAGCATCTATACGAGAGTGAGTGGGGGGTGAGGGGACTGGATGGCAGGTCCAGGGAGAGAAGGGAGCAGCAAGGGGAGGCTGGAGACAGTGGGAAGCGATCCGATTGTGACTGGGGCCTGAGCGGGAGGGCATGGCATAAAGGCAGTCCCCCAAAGTGTATCTTGATGCCTGATGGCACCCCATTCGGGTGGGCTGGCTGTCCCCCAGCTTCTCAACAGTTTGGTCCTGGGGAAATGTCACCATGGTCATGTTTACAAACACCCACAGGAAGCCACTGTGGGAGCAAAGCCCTGCCTCAAATCCGACCTGGACATTCCACTCAAATGCAGGACGGCAGGTGTGGTAACATCCTCGGTGTCTTTGACACCGTCACCTCGGGGCTTCCTGCCGGTCTCTGGCTGCGTGGTTTACAAATGCTCTACACAAACAAGCTGACAGACTCCTGCAGATTCTCGGAAGCACACGCTGAACGGCGATCAGAGGAGAAGCGGGATGCGAGTTCGCACCGGCGCACCAGCCTGCAGCTCGGCGGACGTAACCTTTCCCGTCTGCGGGGACGCGCCCGCGGCCGGTGCTCCACCGCAAAGGCCACGGCTCTCCCGGGAGGGAGGGAGGACGGCCACCGGCAGGACACACACCCACGGCCGCTAACCGGCCTCCGGGGAGAAGCAGAACGCTGCGCTTTTGGCCGCGGGCCCTCTGATCTGTGCTTCTTTTTTTTGAGCCTGGAACTCTGACCTTTATAAAAAGCGGGACTCCCTGCCCAGAAAAACAGGAAGGCCACTCACCAGGAAGCCCCGGAACGAGGCACTGGAAGCGGGTGAACGTTTCTCTGCCTGCAAAGCGAGGCCTCAGCCGTCCACCTGGTGCCCCTCATGATGCCCGAGGCTGTTCCCCTCAGCGGTCCCCGCCCTGTGACTGCTAATGATTGCTCTGCGACGGCAGGACAGCCCGTGAGGCTGTTTTGGCTCCTCTGGTCCCTGCCTGACTGGGGCATCTGAGAGATGCTGGCACCCGGTGTCCCCCAACTCTCTCCAGCAGGGTCCTGCCTCAGATGGGCCGTGTGGCATTGGGGACGGGGCTCCTGTCCTCAGCTTGGGGTGGAGGAGGCAGTCGATAATCAGATAAGGGAAGAAAAAAGCAAACAGGAAAAGGGCTGTGCCTGGTCCTTCTGCTTGAAGCTACCCCAACCCTAATGCTCACCTCTGTGTCCCTCTACTAGTAAATATCCGAAGGTCAACACTGATGCCCAATGGGGAGGAGAGAGAGAGCTGGGGGCCTTTCCCATAGATCTAGAGCAAACAGGAAGATGCTGGCGAAGCAATCGTCCCCAAACACACTCCCAGGTGAAGGCCACGGGGACCCCCTGCCCACTGGAGGAACACAGCCCCTCCTAACGGGAGCCCTGCCCAGCGCCCCGGGACGTGCGGACCGGTTTCTTATGCAGAGGTCAGCCACATCCTTTTCCCAGGATGCTTGGTTTCCGTTCTCTATTCGCTAACAGACACAGCATGCCAACCGCTGGCGAAGGCAACTCGGGCCAGGAATATTCCTGGTCTCCAACAGAGAGAAAGAGCGGCACTCACGTAAAGAGCGTTTAGGTGGCTCTTGGCCGTTCCGCCATGGGCTGTGACCACACGAGCCTGGCCTGGCCTGAGGAGAAGCTTTCTCCGGGAAAGGGGGTCCTCACCTCGAACTTCTGCCTGAGCTCCGCGTTCCCCTCCTCGTCCCCTTCGGGAATGGGCACGTTGTAGTACTCCCCTTCTTCCTGGTTCAGCAGCTTGTACCTTTCAGAGACGGCAGAGGGGCAGAGTCAGGGCTCTGGCTCAGCAACCCTGCTCCCTCGCCCTCGGGCCTGGCTGCTTCTGGCAGGACCCCACGGGGAGAGGACAGCCAGGCCACCACACAGCCCCTGGTCCTTCCAGATTGGAACCCGCTGTTTCCAGATCTCTGAGTGCTCCAAGGCTCTGAGGTGCCCGGCCCTGGGTGGGCACACACGTCCTAGCTGGGGCTTCCTTACCATCCACTGGCCGGCATCTTCATCAGCTCCGAAACGCCGAAGGAAAGAGACCCCATGAAGTCGTTCCTGGTCGTCCGGTCCCAGTCCCAGATCTCTATGGACAGCCGCCGGTCTTTGTCGGAAGGTTTCAATTTGCTACAAAGGAACGGACACACACACACACACACACACACACACACACACAATTACCTTGATGGTGGTTTCCTGAGATCTGAGCTTTAGATTAATAAAAAGTGTATTTGATTCTCTTCCTGTGACTCCCCACTGCCAAAAGAGAACCAGCCTCCTGGCAACCAATGCTCTAGACCAGAGGTTAGCACAGGACAAATCCAGCCCATGGCTTGTTTTTGTTAATAAAGTTTTATTGGAACACAGCCATTACTTTTTTTTTTTTTTTTACATATTGGCTATGGCTGCTTTGACTCTAGAACAGCAAAACTGTGTGCTGGTAACAGAGGCTGTATGCCCGTCAGGTCAAAATGACTCATAATCCAGCCCTTAACAGAGCACAGCTTGCCGGCCTCTATTATACACAAATGAGAGCTGTCTTCGTGGCTGACCCAGGTAAATGGCTCCCTGTGCTCAAGTCCCCAAAGAGGATCGTTTGTCTTACATCATACTCTGACCCTCACATGCTTTTATATCATCGGTAATGTAAGAGCATTTTTGTGCAGAGTAGATATTGATGATAATTTGGGGCCAGCATCATGAAACTCTTGGTAAACCAAGTTACTGACCATCAGACATGAGTGACCTGGTGCCCCCCCCCCCCCCCCACCAGCCTGAGAAGCCTTCGGAATGAAGCCATGTTGAGCGACAGCCATAACAAGCCCCTCAGGATCTCCAGCCACGAGGCGAGGGGTGTTGCGGTGAGCAGGGAGGGCGCTTGGTCAAGGAGAGAAGACACACTTACAACGTGAAGGACTCGTTCCACTGGGGGTTCAGTGTGGAGCGGATGGTCTTGGTTTTCTGTTTGCTTTCATTCTTGGGATCAGGAATGAGTTTGAGCTTCACGTATGGATCTGAAAGCCCATTTGGATCCATGGGGATTAGATTTTTTGCATCTTGTACTGTGAAGGGAGAAGGAAGAAGAAATGTTACAAAAAATAAGGGAGGGGGGTCTGGCCCCTACCCAGCAGGCAATGGACAGGATAGCATGTGCTTGGCGGCCTTGCTTTCCAATCCTGCCTCCTTCACCACGGAACCTGGCACGGAAACTCTCTCCTCATCTAGGAAAACGTATTTCCAGAGGCTTAGCCTTGTTGGGAGGATGAAATGACATGAGGTGCTAGGTGCTCTACACAGCTGGTGGTTTGGGAAATGGAGGAGGGAAGAGAGATTCACTCTGTGAGCGCCCACGCTGCCCAGGCAATGAGTTTTGGACTCCTCCCCACGACCCAGAACTTCGACCTCGCCAACGAGGTAGGTGGTCTCCAGGGGGCCTGGCCGCCTCGGGCTGCCTGAGAACCCCAGAATTCCAGCAGGGGGCTTCTAATGCAACACAGGAGGCCAGTCTCCTGAAACAGTGGCCCGCGGACCACAAAAGGTTAAACACTGGAGCGTCAAGAGGAAGCTCCCAATGAGGCATGGAGCACTTATTCCTAAAGCTGTGGGCTTCCTATGGAGACACTATCACTTAAGCTGAACATGTACGGAGTGATTTTTAACTAGGTAACCACAGCTTGTGATCTCTCCCTCCAATCTGGCACTGGAACGAGCAGCAGAGCCTTTTTAAAAAGCAGGAGAAGCCTGAATGCCGAGTGAGCGCTGAGCTGCATTCCAGACAAGATCTCCTCGGAACCAACAGCCCTTCTCCTCGTGGAACGGCTGGGGCTGCGGCTCTGCCATCAGCCGCACTGGGACACGGGCCTTGCGGGCCCATCTCTCTGAACGGTGACGAATTAAAACACCAATAGCGTTTACTCCTAAAGCTGTGGGCTTCCTGTGGAGACGTTATCGCGTAAGCAGAACGTGTAAGAAAGCTATCAATCCCAATGTCACTGAAGTCGACGCCCAAACCCTCATTTCCCGTCGCACGGACAGCACGCTGAACACCTGCATCCGAACGGGGGCAGTGACCGACCTGGGTCCCCCCTGCCCAGAACTCGCAGGCCAGGCAGGCAGCCTGTGCTTGGATTCTGGCTCTGCCCTTCCTGGGTGTGTGATTTGGGCGAGACGTGAGCCTCCCTGCCCCTCGAGTGTCTTCACCGGGAAGACTGTCCCTCCCGGTGATGATGCAGCTCCCACACACAACGTGCTCAGGACAGCGACAGGTGCACAGCGAGAGCCCAATGACGATGACAATCAGCGATGATACGATCACCGGGTGTGGATCCACGTTCCTGGCACAGGACACAGCCTGAAGGGACACAATAGGACTGGCAGCGCACACACTGGCAAGTCAACCTGTGAAGAGCGGTGCGATGGGGAAATCGCCCAGCGTGGTGGCGACTGCACGGTGCCAGCACCGTCTTAAGCAGCGGTGTCCGAGGGTGTTCCCTTAGGAGCAGGTGTGGGGAAGCTGGAAGAGGGGAACTGGGGGAGGGGAGGGAGAGAGAGGGAGAGAGGGGGAGAAGAAGAGGGGCGGGGGAGAGAGAGGAAACGAGGGAGGGAGGGAGAGAGAGATAGAGGGAGAAAGAGAAATAGGGGGAGAGGGAGAAATGGAAGGAGGGAGGGAGGGAAAGAGAAAGAGAGTGAGAGTGAGAGCGAGAGCGAGAGCGAGAGCGAGAGAGAGAGAGAGAGAGAGAGAGAGAGAGAGGTGCAACACAAGCGTGGAAGTGGATGGTCAGAAGGGCTAGAGGCAGGGGAGAGAAAGAAGGGGCAATGCAGTCAGAGGTGTAGGGACACTGCACTCCCCTCCCCAACAGATGCCGGCACCGGGTCTCCACCTCACTGCGTGCGGAAACAGCTGGGATGTTTGAGCAAAGAGTGATGCCCACCCCACCGGAGAGTCTGACTTAACTGGTCTGGGCTGAGGCCCAGGCATGAGCATCTAGTTGGCTTCCCAACTGCGCATCTCTAAGCGTGGTTCCTGAACTGGCATCGCTGGCACCACTTGAGGACTCAGACCCTTATTCACGTTAAAAAAAAAAAAAATCTACTCACTTTTTAACACTCAGGAGTTAAAGAGGCAGCACTCAGAACTGATCACTGTGGTAGGTGGGACACCGAGACTGCCTGCCATCAATACAGTTACCAGAAAAACAAATACCAGGCAAACACAACTGTGTTCCTCGCTTCCAGCGGGCACAGCTGCCCAAGACCTGCTCTTGGTTACAAAAGGGGGAGCTTACCGGGGCTTCGAGGGTTAAGACGATTCCAGCCCCAGGTGGAGTCGTTTTGCTCGACTGGAAGATGACTGAAAAGGGAATAGTTTTCTCACCATGTCACTTCATGCTTTCTAATGTCAGTTCAGTACTGTCTCAAGCACGACCAGCAGCCATAGCCCACCGAGGGCCCTGCCCCGCAGGGAAGTGACTGGATGGGGCAGGAGATGCTAATTCTGAGGCAGTAAGGGTGTGGGGTGTGTCGGCCCATGAGCACCATGGGATGCTCTACAGATTGACAGCCACTTGACAGTGAGGACTGCATCCCACTCCACACCTGCCCTCCCACAGCCGCCCTCCTGCCCCCCTCCAGGGCCAGCACAGGGTGAGGCAGAACCTCGGAGTGCCCAGTGGAGGTTTGACTGGCTGAAGAGCCAGAGCAGACAGGAGAGCCTGCACACGGTTCATGTTTCGGTTGCAGTACCGAAAGCTTCCATTTGGAGGGACTGTCGGACAAGGAGAAAGCTCGCAGGCCTGTGCCGGGGAGGAGCAAGGCGGGCCAGAGGAGCTGGGCGCTCCAGACAACAGTCTGTGCTCTGGAGAAAGGATCACCGAGCCCACAAAGGAGGAAGGACGGAGAACTCGGCTCCCGCTTTCAGGAAACACATGTCAGAAAGGGCAGTTTTCTCCTGGGGGTGGAAATCCTCAGGATTTCAAGAATGAAATGCAAAGACCTCATCAACCATGAGTGATTTTTGACTAGGTTACCACAGCTTGTGATTCTGGGAACACACTGGGGCCTTGGTGCTGTTCAGTTGTTGTTGTTGTTTGTTTGTTTTGTTTAAAAAAAACATTAAAAAATATTTTTATTGACTTTGGAAAGGGAGGGAGAGGGAAAGAGAGAGAGAAATACCAGTGATGAGAGAGCATTATTGATCGGCTGCACTTGCACACTCCACATCGAAGATGGAGCTGGTAACTTTGGGCATGTGCCCTGATTGGAATCAAACCATGACCTTCTGGTTCATAGGTTGATGCTCAACCACTGAGCCACACCGGCCGGGCGGTGCTGTTCAGGGTGACCCACTTGTTCCCATTCTGCTGTGCTGAGTCAGCTGACTCCGTCTGTGTTAACGAAACCCATAGGATTTTGCACTTGATCTCTTTCATGTTGATATGCTATGACCCATACGTTTGTAATATTTATTCTTTTCTGGCCAAAGACAAAGGCAGGAAAAATGAGATGTACTAAGAATGCACCTGCTCAGCCATCCCCATCCCACTAGGCAGAATCCATGCAAAAACCTGGGTTCAGGGACACCATCATCTCACACTCTGCACCTACTAGTATTTGTGGAACGTCCTGTTTCCTTAGTGAGACTCACTGCTTGGTGCTAAGAATGTGTTTTCTGTCCTAGTAAATTCAGTGGTCAGTCACATACACAAAAAACATAAGCCAGCAACCCAAGTCCCATTGGAATAAAAGTTATAGAAGAGAACTGAGAGGCAAGAAAGGGCAGCCCGAGGGCCCTGGGAACAGATTGTAAATATTTCACCACTTTTTCTTTGACAGTCAGTGGAAAGTAAACATTTCTGCTAATGTTTCCTAAGCCTGATGTTCTGAAAGGAAATTGAATCTGGGTGTGAGAGAAATAATAGTTTCTAGGTATTGAGAGGCCGTATGATCCTCCATACACAACATAGAAAGACTTTAAGAAACATTTTTCTTATTGGAGACCTGTTGCACGAAATTTGTAGGGTCCCTAGGCCTGGCCAGTAATCAGGCCCGATCGGGGCCTTCGGGGCCTTCCTTCGTTCCATGCTGCCCCCTGGTGGTCAACACACATCATAACGATTGAACTCCCGGTCTCCTGGTCGAACTCCCGAGGGGACAATTTGCATATTAGGATATATATATATATATATATATATATATATATATATATATATATATATGACTAATGGATACACATATAAAAATCTACATACTAACTCATGTCACCTCAATAAATTCAATTAAAAAAATCTAAATGCATAAAGTACAAAGAAGAAAATTAATATCACCCCAACTTCCGCTCTAAGCGAGAACTCCTGTTGGCATATTGGTGGTGTTTACTGCCAGGCTCTCTGCTTTGCATATATCTAGCTTGAAATATTTATTTTTTATAGAGTCTATATCTATAAACATAATTTGAGATCCTGCCCTTATAACATAACAGGGCATGCTATGACAACATTTTAAATGCCTAGCATCCCCTTATCCAGCTATATGATAAGTGATTTAATCAACCCCTATTGGGGGCCATCCAGCTAGTTTAAAATCCTTCACTTCATTAATAACACAGCTGCCTGCCAGTTGGTTGGGTGTCATCCCATGTACCAAAAAATCACTAGTTGGATGCCCAGTCATGGCACATGCCCCAGATTGCAGGTTCAATGGGAGGCAACCCATCTATGTATCTCTCTCACATAGTTTCTCTCTCTCTCTCCCCACATCTCTCTCCATCCCCCCTCTCAAATCAATAAAAGCATTAAATAAACAACAACTGATCACATTCATGCATAAATAAATATTCTCCTGAATCCCTGATTTCCCCCTCCCCCCCAGGAAACATTCTTGTAATCATTCAAAATACTTAACATATATTGGCAAACTATCCCCTCAAGCGTATACCAAAGTCTTACTGAGAGTGTGGTGAGAAAAGCAAAAAATGACATTGTAATTTTGGCTTCTTTGAGAATCTCTGATGTTTAACTTGTTTTCTATGGTTATTTGCCACCTGTCTTTCTTGGACTTACTCTCT